AAAATAACCCGAACGGAGTGTTTACATGACACACTTTTATTCCGACCGGCCATTTGATCCGGTTACTTATGTCCATGTAAACATACTCACTGTAAATGCATGCAGTCAGATGTGAGTTTAAGCGAGGTTCCATGAAACAACAATATTCATTCTGTTAAAGCACTAAGGACAGAATGTGTCATGGAACGAGCCGTCACATCACGTAGATAAAAGCGAATAAATGAGCACAGTGTTGACCATGCGGCCGCAGTGCAAATATCCTGCATTGTCATACCATTATGCAAAGCAGTCGAAGATGTGATACCTCAGGTCGAGTGCGCCCTGAGGTTGACGGGAGGCTCTAAATCTGATGCTCTGTAGGCTTCAGAAATGGCCTCACACAGCCAGTGTGACAGGTGCTGGGTGGATAATGGGCGACCTGCAGATGCATCTCTATAATGCACAAATAAATGTTGAGTTTGACGCATTGCGGCTGTGCGTGCTATGTAACACGTCAACGCCCGCACAGGACAGAGAAGATGGAAAGATGCTTCTTCTGATTTGTGGGGGGGAGGGGAAAACCCCTCCAACGATATCACTCTTGATTTAAAAGAGCTTGTGATGTTTTTAGGCATAAAGGCTGGATTCGGTCTTAGATCAGCTGAGCTGCCGTCAGCCTGAATTCTAAGACATGACGGAGCGACAGAGAGGGCAGATAAATCACTCACCCTCTTAGCGGATGTTAAAGCCAGCAGCAGGGCTGTTTTAAGAGACAAGAATTTAATCGGAACCTGATTCAGTGGCTCAAATGGAGCTTTGATCAGGGCTCGCAGGACCAGCGTTAAATCCCACTGTGGAACAAGTGGGCGTGAAACAGGCCTGCGTCTCTGTACACCTTTTAAAAAATGCTTCATCAGCGGATGATTAAAAACTGTTCTGTCTCTGAAACCTTCGTGACAGGAAGAGATGGCTGCAGTGTACGTTTTAATCGTGCTGAACGCCAGATTTCTGTCCATCAGCTGCTGCAGAAAGGACATGAGGTGGCCTCTACACCTTTCTCTGTACACCAGCGCTGAAAAGCTGTCCAGTTTGATGTGTACAGTGCTGTGTTGGATGCAGCACGTGAATCTTGGATTGTGCGCACTACATCTTGCGGGAGACCCATCCTCTCTAAGTGGATCAGCTCAGCGACCAGACCCACAGGTGCTGGCCTATTTCTGGGTAACTCCTGATCACTCCCCCCGCCTGGAGGAGAGCGTCCTCCCTCCACGGCAGTTTCCACGTGCACGCCGACAACAGGTGTTGTAGAACCAGGAACCATGGCACATTCAAGCGCTCGGGAGCCACCAGGAGAGCTGTCAATCCCTCCTCCTGAACTTGTTTCAGAAACCGTAATATCAGAGGAGGTGGGGGGAATGCATAAAGAAGCGTTTTGGGCCATGGGCTGCAGTGAGCAAACGCGTCCACCCCCAGCGGTAGTTCGTCTCGCAGGCTCAGTGAAAACCATAGTTGACACTGAGCATTTTCTCATGTCGCAAACAGGTCCACAGCCACTTTGCCAAATTTCTGCCACGTCTGGGCCATCAGATCGGGGTGGATGGTCCAGTCCCCGTGACACGGACCGCCCCTGGACATCACATCTGCCCTTAGACTGCTCTTAGATTGTTGATTCTCGTCTGTGATAAACGAGCCCTCAAGGTAGTCGAGTTTAGCTTCACTCCCAGATAAACAATTGTCTGGGCCGGGAGAATCAAGCTTTTTTTCCAATTTATGGCGAAGCCCAGATTTAGCAGGTGTGATGTCAACACCTGAGTCTGCGCCGCTGCTTCCCATCTGGAGCGTGACAGCAGCAACAAGTCATCTAGGTAAAACAAAACTCTCATCCCTGCTCTGTGTAATGGTTGCAGGGCCGTCTCCACACACTTTGAGAACGTACGAGGCACGAGGGAATAACCGAACGGCAGCCTGTTGTACTGATACTGCATCTCATGAAAGGAGAAGTGCAGACATTTTCTGTGCTTTGGAATGATCGGTATGTGGAAGTAGGCGTCTTTCAGATCGATGGAAACAAACCAATCGTTTCTCTGGATGTTGTCCAACAGTTGTCTGGTTGTCAACATGTGAAACGGTCTGTCCACGATCGCCTTGTTGAAAAACTGACAGGTCCTAAATCGGTCTCGTTCCTCCGGTCCGTTTTGGAACCAGGAAATAACGTGAGTAAAAACCTGTGTTTTCCTCTCCGTCGGGAACTCTGGAAATTACCTCTTTTACCAGAAGTTCCTGGACTTCTGCATTTAGTGATGAGACCTGGTCTGGTGATGACAGAACCGTCTCTAAAACTCCTCCAAACGGAAGGGGTCAAACTGCGAATTGCAGCCTATAACCCATGCTTATCAGCTTGGCCATCCATCTGTCTGGCGAGCATGTTCGCAGCCACTCAGCGTGACGTTCGTGGAGTGGGCGTGCGTTTAAGTGGTGCGTCATGTTTCTTACGGACATCAGCCAGTCTACAGCCTCGTCCGCCGTCATGCGCCGTGGAAGTGTGTTCCGCATGACCCAATGTGAGGCTTCCTCGAAAGGGCTCTGAGCGCGCCTCTGTGCCGCGCTCAGGCTGCGGGTTCACATTCATATCGATGTGGACCGGCGTGTGTTGAGGAGAGGTGTGTGCACCCTCATCCACGCTGCGCTGTTTGGGTGAAAGCTGCCGGTTCCGCGGGAGCGCGCGTTTGACACCGCTGCTGTGAGACGCATGCCGCTCCTGATGAGAGCGAGGTTTCTCACTGGACTCGTTCTGCGGTCTCACATTTATGCTGATGCAAGCCAGCGAGCGCTGGGGAGCGGTGTGCGTGCCTTCATCAACGCCGCGCCGTTTGGGTGAAGGCTGCAGGCGCCGCAGGAGCACGCGTTTGCTGCGGTGAGACGCGTGCCGCTCCTGCTGAGAGCGAGGTTTCTCACTGGACTCGTTCTACAGTCTCACATTTATGCTGATGCGAGCCAGCGAGCGCTGGGGAGCGGAGTGCGCGCCTTCATCAACACCACGCCGTTTGGGTGAAGGCTGCTGTCGTCGTGGGAGCACGCATTTGACACTGCTGCGTTGGGAAGCGTGCAGCTCGGGCTGAAAACGAGTTATTCCACTGGACTCGTTCTGCAGACCACATTCGCTTTTGACTGTTGTCATGCGAGTGTCTGTTGTTTATTTTGGAGCAGCAGTGATTCTGAAAAACCTTTTTTAAGGCAACCGGCTCGTTTTGTGTGGAGGATGTGTGAGGAGCCGCTGTGAGGTCATCCGAGCTGACAGACTGGCTAAAATTGGACACTTTAGTCATTGAATGATATTCATGTTTTATTTCAAAACCCATGTCATCTTTACACACATCCTCTGCAAACCGTCATTTTGAATCTTCTCCCCCGTGAGCTCTGCGGTTTGTTGTCCCAGGGCGCTGCCTGTTGGCCATCTCAGGGAAACGCTGAAACTCCAGTTGCCAGGATAAGAAGGGCCGATCTCTGACGGGCGGGGCTGGCGGAGGAGCGGGGAGACGCTGCTGCAGCCGTGGAACGTTGTTGAGCATTTGCTCAGCCCCCCTCGTTCCGACACTACGCTCTCCAGGAGGGAGTGAGAAGCGGGGGCTGCTGCTGACGTCGCCTGTCCTGGAGGAGCCATCCGATTCGCTCCGAGAGTCTGCGATAAAAGGAAAATTACAAGATGGCGTCGTCCAGTGTGTAGTGACCCGCCACTGAGAAATATTCCTCGGTGCTTACCTTGAAACAAGACTGCTCGTCTGCTTCTCCTCGGGAAGGAAAACTCACCGGGGCGGCAGGAGGTTGGCATGGCGGGGCCACAGGCAGCCCCAACAAAGGTTGAGCTGGTCAAGCTAGACAACTTCCCTTCTTTGTTCTTCTGACAGTGCTATTAGCTTGCTGAAGAAAAATGGGAGCCTATTACCCGCTCTTAACGTAATTTATACAGACCGGGTGGGGCCCAAACAACAGGTGGGCATGGACTAAATTTTTCAGTGTGATGCTTTGCATGACAGGATAAACCCACTAAGCAACAGCTCTTAAAGGGCGATGCCTATACGAAATAGAACTATTTGTTAATAAATGTGCCTGTGTGACAATTAGGATAAAGCTTTGACTCAAATATATTTTTGTTATTACTTTATGGAAAGAAAACAATATTGAGATATCAGAATCAGAATAAGCTTTATTATCATTGTTCTGGGATACATTAAAATTATGTTTGTACAGTCGTCCAAAAGATGGGCGGAGTGCACGTTGCTGCTGTCATAGCGCGGCCCCTTATTCTTTATCAGAGTACTTTTATATAGAAAAAGGGAAAAGACCTTGAGGATGGATGGTGGTATTACAAAAAAGATCTCCTCACATTTTGTCCTATCAAGATACGATTAAAGACATGAAAAAAACTTTACCACCAAGCATATTTATAAACACATTACATTTGCATTTGACGTCAAGATGTTGATATTTGTCCATGAGTACTTTCAGATAGATAGGACATAGTCCTGATAAGATGTTGGTCAGCCGGCATAGACAAAGCTTTTTCCCTAGTCACCCATGTCCCAGGAGAAATTTGATAGTCGGCTTGTATCCGAGGCCAAACGGGGGAGTCCGATTCAGATAAACCACAATTGTTGATTTTCTTCAGGCAGACTGTTTTTTTCTTGTCAGCCTTGAGTCCTGCTGGAACTTTCTCAGTCAAATGGCCAGATTTGTGGGTGTTCCACATCACTGATTCACGTAATGAGCTTCCTCAAGGTCGATCCCACATGCTGGCAAGATATAGTATAGCACGATTTATCTTACAAATATTGAGATCCTTAATGCCCAGTCCTAGTTTAACGTTGTCCTATAGGTGTAGGAGCCCAGCCCTCTCTGAGGCATCTGCTGCAGTTCCACGTCATTCCTCTCTGCTATAACTCGCGAGGATTGGATACGTCTCTCCCTAACACCTGGCATAAAACCAACTGCTGCCACACTCTTCATGAAGTGTTCATTTGCAGGTTGTTGGAGGCTGACTCTAAGTCGATGCGATCCATGAGCGGCTCGCGTCGTAACAGTGGCTCATCGATGGTGTCCAGCTCCTCCGCCTCCTCCAACTTGTCCCACTTAGAGGAAGACACCTGGATCCTGTGGGGACGTATTGTCAACGAGTGGGAAGAGTGGAGACGCAAGAAGGACAAACTTCTGAAGGTGAGGGAGTTGGACTCGAGGTGGGAAGTTAACGAAAAATAGCATTGTGTTAGAAACGTTCATTACTCTGTAGAAAACCTTTCCTGATTTCAACCCTTCTACAGAGGACAGATGTGTTAGTACAGTGCACCAGTGCTCCTCTCTGCCCTTTGTCTCTACACTTTCTGAGTCCTCTGTCACAAAAATAAAGAGCTCGGGGGAGGACAAGATGGATGTGAGAGGAGACAGCAAAAAGTGGTCTGGGCTATGAAGAGGGGGAAGACAAAACAGGCAAAAACAAAATGCAAATATAGAGTCCATCACAAAACAAGTGTCTTTATTGAATCATAATCCTTGAGACCCATATCTCGAACTAAGAGATGAGCTGATCTTAATGTCTTTGTCCTGTAGGAGTTGATCAGGAAGGGCATCCCTCATCACTTTCGTGCCATCGTCTGGCAGCTGCTGGGCAACGCCACAGACATGCCGGTGAAGAACCAGTACTCGGAGCTGCTAAAGATGTCCTCCCCCTGCGAGAAGCTCATCCGCAGAGACATCGCCCGCACTTACCCCGAGCATGAGTTCTTCAAAGGCCAGGACAGCCTGGGCCAAGAAGTCCTCTTCAATGTCATGAAGGTGAGAGCTGTTGACCCTCAGAAAAAGGGGTGAGGTCTTTAAGTCTCTGTGCTGACATCTCCTGTAAGCGGTTTGTCTCGTCTTTTTTAAAAGTGAATTCTCTGAAACACTTTGAGGAAATATCTGGAGGTCAGAGGATCACGAGGCACATTTTAAAAGTGTACTGTTTCACTCATAATTTGCAAAATAGGACAAAATAACAAAACGTTGAAAGTACAGCAGTACAATGACACAGTAACTATTTTAAAGCCAAAAGTTAAAGGTCAGCTCTAGTCAAAAAGTAGAAAACAGCAACTTGACTGATGAAGACTCAGGACTGTCTCTTGACGATTCAGTCAGGTCCTCTGGAAGGACCTGACTGAATAAACATTTCAGTTTCATCTTTTATCCAAAAGACTTCTTCAGTCTGAGGAGCAGCAACAATCTTATAAGCAGCACCTTCTCGCAGTGGATCAACCACTGTAAGCAACTACTGGAGCATGCATCGGGATGACAGTGGTTCTAGTTTGATCTTTGTATGTTTAAGTTGATTATTTTTTACTCTTAACTAATCTAAATACAGTTTCTAATTAAAAATGCTAACATATTCACATCAAACGTTTTTATTTCTACACTTTAAGCAGTTTTTGTTTTAAGTCTGCTGCACCAGCGTTGCTGTATAAAATGAGTCTGAAGCTCGTTTTCTGCAAGAACTTCATGCATCATTTAGCTTTGTTTCATTTGTTTATTGTTGTGTTGACGGTGTGTTGCTGTGCACACGAGGTAAAAAGATTTGTGAGGCCCTTGTGTCAATCGACCTGAACAAATCCAACATATCTGGCTTATTTGGCCTATCAGCAGTCAACGCTCATTAAGCTAAATACAGCCTGCAGCTCCATGGAGTCCTCCCAAAGCACAAATGACTTCCTGTACTGGGGATTGTCCAGATCAAACCAAGAATTTTAAAATTGTGGGTACTATAACATTTAGGGATTCATAATATTAGACTAAATGTAATGTGGGATGTATTTTCAATATTTATTATTATTATTATTATTATTATTATTATTATTATTATTATTATTATTATTAAAACTACTGACAGTATCATGCGTGTTCGCTCACTGTGGCCACCCCTGAAAATGGGTGCAGCCATTACAAAAACTAAATTGACAATATCAATTGCAATTTTGAAGGAAATTTTTTTTTGTCACTTCTCACTTTGTCTTCTGCCATCTCATTCAACTTAACCAGGTGAGGAGTGACCAAAAATATTATTATCATCAGGGCATGAAGACTAACCTTTATTTTACCAGGTAGGTCAGTTGAGAACCAGTTCTTTACAACGATAACGTGGCCAAGAGGCAGCAACACAAGTTAACATAAAACTACAACGATGAAAGCAGAAAAACAGCATAAATTATTCTGCATTGTTCTTTTAATGTAATGGTTTATGATTTATTGCAGTCCAAGCAATTCGTTAAGATGCAGATTAAATTCAGTGATATTCCAACGATGATCAATTTTCTTTTTGTGCAGTTTTAGTAACAAAGTTTGTCATATGGATACAGTAATATTCATACAGCCATATACACTACTTTTATTTACTTTTCATTTTATATGCATTTTATGGCTGTTTATTGTTGTCTGTACCTTATCTATGGTTTGTTTAAAACAGGTCTCTCTTGTAAATGAGTCCTTGTGACTCAATGAGACTAACCTGTATAAATAAAGGTTGAATGAAAATATATATTCCCATAGTCATATATTTGTTTAGCTCAAGGATGTGCAACATTAAGGGTTTTTCAGAGTGCCATAATGTCTTAGGGAAAACAATTATACATACTGTACATATATATA